TTTTTAGAGAGTATAAATTGATTTTACACTCGAACCCTGTTTAACCATTGTGTCCTTATGTAGCTGATATTGCAAATTTTGACGGCCCAAACGCAAGGCTTCTCTCAGTTTATTCCCAATTTCCAATGCAGCTTCTTCGTTATTGCCATTAGCTGTCCAAATAGCTAAATATGGTTAAAATAAAAATTACAATAAATATATCAGAAGTTCGTAATGAGAAATAGTTAAGCTTACAAATTTTATTATTCTTGCCACGTATGTTTACAACAGCGCCGCAAATCTCATCTGAATGGTCAAACGCTTCACCAATTAAGCAAAGCAACTAAAAATGAAGTAGTGTATGTAGTATACGATATTATCGATTGCATAAACTACAATATGCACTTACAACATCAAGCCACAAATTATCCAAATCTGCCTTAGAACTCTTATTCAGTGTAATAACCCAGCGGCCACCTTGTTTGTTGCCCGCATCCTCCCACATTGGTCTGAAAAACGAAATAAATGTTTGCACATCTAGTTTTATATAAAATCAGACGCTGTATACCTGATGCCTTTCTTAAATAAAGAGTAATCGCTGCCTATTTTGATATCAGATGGAGGTTTGATGTGATTGTAGAGACTGAAAATTAAAGAAAGATGTTTATTTAATTTAGTAATTTGTAGATTTATTTATTCGGACTTTGGGATTGGGTTAAGTATGAGACATAAGATATTTAATACGGGGCAACGTCAAGTTTCCTATAGCGATAAGTTCTATAAAATGCGACTATGATGAGGGCATTAACAGGATTAGAGACTAAGGTGCCGGGAAACATCCATTACTTTTCTTTTGTATATTTTGCTCGTGGTGACATTTGGCCAGCAATTTATTTGAATTTAGAATTTTTATTTATAAGATGATTTGCAAATGAGGCAAGTTGCTTAGGTTTGGTGAAGAAAGTCGAAAAAGTTCCCCAATGGTTTATTATTTAACAAAATTTAAATACTATGTATGTCAAAGAAATTGGCAACAAATAAGCCAATTTTAAGAATGTAAAAAAAAGCGGTAATAACACATGATTTCCATGATTAACACTTAACGGAGGTCGATTGCTGTTCTTGAACTAATAGGTGAAGTAACTTAACCAAGCATTCAGAATGTTTCAAGCGCCATTGTTAACAGATTAAATGGTCAATCGCAGTGTCCTCGTTGCAGCTAATTAAGCTCAAGTATACCTAATTGCAATGGAGTTTCACCCGGCAATACTTTTAGTTGTTATACAACTTAAAATTTGTATGATATAGTGGTTACTTTGAAATTATAACACAATATAAAAATTATAACTAAATAAAGAAATGTATCTATCTTGCATTGTATTTAAATGGCATTACTCACCTCCAAAAGTCTTCAACTGTATCGAAGCTGGTGATTTCGTTTTGCATGTCTTCCCATGACTTCGAGCGATCATTTTCCAAGTACCACAAAGTCCAGGTATTTTGCAGAGGGTGTTTGAAGAGGTGTTCCGTACGCACTTCTTCTTGCTCTTTGTTTTCCTCCTTCGCATCTGGACGACCACTAGCGGGTGTTGGCTGAGCAACAGGCGCAGCGTTCTCCGCAGTTGTGGAATTCTGCAAATAACATAACAAAGCTTGAAGTTAAAATTTATTTGCAATTTTTAACTAAAACAAAAAAGGGAAAAATAATTTAATTACATTGAACAAATTAGGATTTGCGAAATTTTTCTTCCTATGAAAGTCGCTCTGAAACATCATGCCACGAATATCAATCAATCAAATGCACAGTAGCAAACAACTTTTTGTTGGGTCTTTTTTAACTTGAGGGAGGGGCGGTGTATGACAAATGCCTGAAGTAGCTGCTAAAAGCGAAAGTGTGCTGAACGATTCGCGAATACTGTAAGTGATTGCAAAAGCAAGAAACAGTTGTTGTCTTTTGTTGCAGGCCGAGAGACGCAAATCGCAAAGTCTCACCACCAGCAGAGCTCACTCCAACAATTCTACTTCTCAGCTTCCGATCGGAGCTGAGACTGTGTCTCTTGTGCTTCTGCTTTCTAGCTGTAATTGGTTTCACTGGCCTTTTTACTTAGTATTGGCGTGTAGCAAGATTTATTACTCGATCACTGGCTGGCTTATAAGCAGCAGATGCTTCAGTATACTTTGTATATCGGCGGTCCACTACTATATTGTATTTTTTGTGACAGGCGTTGCTGATATTGCTGCTTAACTACTTCGATGGCCTCGCGTGGCTCTTCACTGAGTTGTGCGACAGCAGTGTTCTATTTTTTCTTTTGGTAACGTATAAATATAATATCGCTGTATTTTTTGTTGTTGTTGTGTTTTCCTTTTTATGCTTTGCAATAGCAATTCGGCTGCGAAATCGGTTCTTGGCTTTCACGAATTTTATTTAATCGGGGTTTTTGCAATTTCCAAATCAAGTTGTTTTATTTTTTGTTTTGAGAGAAAATTTTTGTGAACGAAACAAACTGAAGTGAAACGAAATTTTTAATTAAAAGTCCAATAGAAGATTTTTTAATAATTTTTTTCACATTTGAACACATAAATACAAGGCAAACTTGATGCTTTCGAAAAAGTGTTTTTCTTCCAACGACAACGAACAGTGAACACCGAGTACTGTATGCGCAGTGAGCGCAGAGTAAAGTGATTAAAACGGGCCGGCGCGACGGCAACTAAACAATGAGCAAGCAGTCAAATACCATACAAATGTACTTACATATATGAAGTTTATATGTATATTATATACATAAGTATATAGCACGAAGAGCCAAACCTGCCTGAACATAGACTGCTGGATAGGCAGGGAGGGAATACATATCTATGCATAGAGAGGGAGAGTTCAGTCGGACAATAGAGCAAGCTAGCTGGCAAACAGTCAGGTAGTCAAATATCAGAAAGCTAAGCTCCAGAGATCGCAACGCGATTTGTATATTTTTTGTTCTCGATTTTGCGGCGATATCGTCTTACTGACTGTGCATGTCTTCATAAATACATATGTATGTATGTACATATTTGGCTGCCAAAACGATGCACAGTAGTCCAATCCAAAATTGGAACGAGATATTTTTATGTACCTATATTCCTCGGTGACGTTCTTATAAAGAGTATACGATCGATTAGCTTTCGATTTGGAGCGAGTGTGGGTATGTATGTAAATACAGATCAGGCGCTTTGTGATTATACAAAGTATTTTTCGATCCTTCGGTGATCGGTTCTACGTTACTAAAGCGATGCCAGAAAGGATCGCAAATTCAACACAAACTCCAGCCAAACCTGCTAATAGGGAAAATAAGTAGTAAATATGTTTGTACATTGAATGAAGTGGAAGGAATGAGTACTGAATTTTATTCTAGAACCTTTTTTAATATCAGAGGAATGAAAAAAATTCCTTTAAGAATTTCCGACTGTTGATAAAGGAACCCGGGAAACATATGTAAAGGTTTTTAACAGTTTGATAAATATTTATATACCCTGCAAACCATTTTTTTCAGAGTATACTGCATTGTAAAGAAATTTTAAAGAATTCGTTAAGATTTAATTCGATTTTTTGCCGAATTTTCTAAAATGAAATAAATTACGCACACTTCCATTCTTTTACGAAATTTCGAAAGAAAATCTGTGAAGCAACGAAAATAATGGTGCTTTATGAAGAATATCTTTCAGAATTTTTCCAGAATTTTCTTTATTTTTCGTACAGAAATTTCTTTACGAGTTCGTGTCAACCACTTCATATAATTTTCTTTGAAAATTCGTAAAAAAATCGTTACAGAAATGAGATACTCCTCACGATTTCCTTAAGATTTCGGGAACTTTGGTTTGCAGGGTAATGCTGCTATGTGAAGAATATCTTGCAGAATTTTTCCAGAATTTTCTTAGTATGTGCATATGTGTACACAATATGTATATGTACATAGTTATAACGTCAACTAAGTATGTATGTACTAAAACAAGTTAAGTAAACTAAAACCGTAATCATACTAGGCAGAGTCGATAATCTGTGTGATGAAGGAATTGAAAGTCGGCGGTTAACTGTATTCTATCAGATACGGTTTTTCTCTTATGCTATTAATAATATTTATTTTAATATATATTACACACTTTATATGTACTGCTGCGCTGCAATATGTATGTATGTATATGAGTACATATCTACACATTCATATTATGTATACACATGCCTGCATAGTATTACTCAATTTATACATTACACTCTACACGCCACTGCCCCTTATAATACCCGCTCTCCTAAACTTGTTTGTAATTTTATTTTTCGGATCTTTATAATACTCTTTACTTGGTACTGTTCTTTTAGCACCAATTCTTTTAGATCTTTTCTTTACGTTCATACGTCCAAAGTGCGACGTACTCTCATAGCAAACGGATGGTCAAGCGAAGCAACTCGTACAAAAGAAAAACAAACACACGCTGGACGTGCAGTATACTCGTACAAAGAAATTGTTTCGACCCATATGATTCACACACACTGGAATCGGGGAACAAAATAACGGGAAAAAAAGAAAGCGAAGGCTGCTTCAGCGGAGACTTCCTTTGGCACTCCATGGAAGGTAAGAACCAGCGTTGATGGACTTAAGTAAATGGGTATTGCATGAGGATGAAGGGGAAGTGTATTGAACAGAAGTCAAAGCACACTCTTGGAGGTCAAAAAGAGCATATACATACATATGTACACGTGAGTCATGCCACTCTTTGTGCTCTTTGAGAAACTTTGTGACCAAAATATTTTTTTATTATTTTCTCTTTACCAGTAATCGACTGATAAATAAACAGGGAGTATATTATGGAAAGATAGCGACTACAATAAATGTTTATAACTATACAAATTCTGGCTTATTTTTACATTTTAAATGTCTGCCAACGCAAGTTAAACAAATGCCCAGGTTTCTAAAGAAAAATTACGAAGCTACAAAGGTAACTGCAATTTATAATTAAAATGCTGTCTCAACATATATAAATAATTTTAGGCAATGGTTACATATCAGTCACGGACCATCACAACAAAACCTATGATATGGTGACGAGGTAATGCAGAACCGTCTATCTTTGTACTGGGTCACTGTGAAGATTCGCCGGCGATATATGCACATATGTATGTATGTACATTTCCAAAGTTTTCACCACATGGCTAATATCAGGCTAAATCTTAACGTGGAAGTCCATGGCGCCCACATTTTGACATCTAATGTTGGAAGAGGCGGTTCATAGCATCTTCTTTAACGGCACTCCCCCTCCAATTGTAAAAAAAAACGAGAAACAAGGTTGTTCTTATTAAAAGAGCAAACAAATGCCTTAAGCACTATCCAGCTCATCGCGTACTCCTTTAACTCTATGTTCATGATGTCAGAAGCCTTATGATCTGCATCTATAATTGCAGCACGGTTCTTTGGGCTCAAACTCACAGAGACGGAAGAAGAAGCTGGCAAGTGACAAAGGCCCTGTGAGGTTTACTATGGCTAATATAGAATCACATATTTTCCAGGAATACCTTAATGTTCTAAACTGGAAATATTAAATGATTAGAAATGGTAATTGTAAATGCCTTGTAAATGCCTTTCAAATGACTACTGACACGAATTTTTCATATTTATATGCATTAATTTAAACTTTAGTATCTGTATGAACACAAAACGATAAAATGATTTTACCTACATACATATCCGTGTTCATATGGAACAGTAGCTTATGTTGTTGTTGTTGTTGTAGCGGCTACAACCCCGCCCAGGACGGTTGGTATCTCAGTCGTTGTCGTCAAGTTCCACTAACGGCAACCCTAGGAAGCGTGCAGCTTCTGTGGGGTTTGTCCACAGGGACAAGGCCGTTAGG